TCCCCCTTCTCCCACTTCCCCTCCCCTCGCTTCTCGCCTCTTAGAGTGCTGGATGACTGGATCCTATGAAAATGACCTTTGGAAAAGTTTAAAAATTTCGACCAGCTCACAATGAAGACGTGCCACATATTGTAAAATGGTTGGGCAATGATTATAATATGTGGTAGGTAGCAAACATTTACAAAGCCGTGAATAGAAAAGGGACAACCAAAAATTGTAGGTAAAAATTTCAAAATTGCCTGATAATTGACACTTTTTGGACAAAAGCAGAATTAAAAAATAAACGATTCTTAAACGGTTCTGCAGTGTTAATATAAAACCTGCACTTACCAATTCATACATATTTTTCGCAGGATTGAGCCATCCGACGTTGTTTGGCTCAATTCCCTTAGCTACTCTTCGACGAGCGTCATTATGAAAATTGAGAAACAGATCACGAATAGCGTCTGTCATCTCGTTATTTTTACAACCATATTCTAAAATGGACTTTGGAGACTTAAACAAAGCAGTAAAAATCTAAAGCTAGTACTCCACAGTGGTCAAACTTCTCATTACTGGCTAGCTTACTGGTTTGCTGATTGATTTGCTTTTGGCAGGCAGCATTGCGAATTGATAGTGCAGCAACAAAAACCTAAAGGATATTTTTTCAAAAATTGATAGAAAGCCCATCTGTATTTATTAAGTTGAGAAAGAGGACGCTGCAAATCGAGAAAGTACCTCGACCTCTTGAAACTTGCACGACATGACAGCAATTACAAATTTTCTAGCTGTCACACCAACTACGCCCAACTTTTTAAGCAAAATTTCTCAAGTCTATTTTATAGTTTTTCGATTTTTGCGAAGAATGTAAGTCATTTTCTTCAAAAAGCATAAGAACTGAGGAGTAGAGAGAACACTGACAGAGTTGAACTCAAACAACTGTTATCTAATTTAGTAATTTGTCGTAAATCCTGACACTAGAACTCAATAAATGAATCGCATATCTAAACTCAGCAAATGTAAAAGCAAGCGATGTTAAAGACAGATTTAATTTCACGTACACGTATTTCACGGATTCTTTCTCCCGCGCCGCCTTCAAAGTGTTTGCGACTGGGATACAGATATTGGTGAAGGGGCAGGTCTCTGCATGAGGTCTCCGATTGAATCTCACAAAAACGAATACCCACTTGAAAATCCAAGAAATTACGAAGCCCCCTTTGTAAGCTATACAAACGCCTGCAAGCAGGACAAGCGTTGCAGAGCTGTTTATTCGGAGCGCGTTCTCTTC